ATTATTATTATTATTATTATTATTATTATTATTATTATTATTATTAGTGAATCTTCTTCTTGAAAGACTTAATAAACTTGAGATACTTTTTATATATTTTCCCCCAAAATACCCTCTATATTTTTCTTGGAAATGGCTCGAATGGTTGCATGTTCTAGCAACAATCACCCGTTGGCAAGATATCGATGGCTTCCTTTTCCAAGGGTTGCTTAGACGTAAGCTGATGAAGGTTTCGACCCCCTGACAAGACCCAGTACCAGTTTACCATCGAAACGAATGAACGAATTCTACAGCCACTCTTCAATTAGTAGAATTGAACCTTCCAGCTTCATCATGAGACCAGCAGCACCCGTCTGTGTGCCACACGTGCCCGTAGATTTCCCCAGTTGGAATCAAAAACAAACCAAGATACAAACACACACACACACACACAAACACACAGACACACATACACACATACACATACACACAAATACACACATACAACTCCGTGACAATATGCGTTTCGTGTAGCTGTTGCGCAGCCCAAAACGCATAAAAATCGGAAATTTCATGACACCAGGTGATCTAAGGCTGGACAGAGGAGCTGGAAAAGTTTCTAGTTGTACAACTATTGGGCCAGAATTATTACAGCTAAGCCAAGCATTCAAAATATATGGACTATACCTTTCGCAACATTAAAAACACCCATTGTATTCTGATCACAGATGTAGCATTTTGGTGTCTTTTGAAAATGTCCCAGAGCGCATTTTTCACAAAAATAATGCTTGCATCTGAAATATAAGATCATCAAAACATTCCACAGCAAGCCAGACGATGCAGCACTGAAACAGCCGGGCACAGAACTTAAACAGCCTCATTTCCTTCCCTTTTTTCTTCATCTTCCTCAGGTAATCAACATGTTCCTTTTTAAAATGGCGAAGTGTGGCACTGCACTGATGACTTTCACCTCATTTCGCAGCGATTCTACCGTTTTATGTTTACAGCTCAGGGATGAAACACAGACTGGTTACCAAGCCAATGAACATACAGGCTTGCTTATTTGGGAGATCTGAATGGCACTTCCAATGTTTTCAACAATTATCAAAATTCGACTGTGTTCCTCTCCACAGTGGGTCAAAAACGCCAAACAAACTGCATATGTTAACACATAGATCTCAGGTCTCTGTCTTCCTCCAATGTCTTAACTAGGGATATTCATTGTTTGTATTTTTAAAATTTCTACAACACTTAACTGCAAGTAGCTGTTCCAGGTATTCATAGTGCTAAAGTAGAATAACAAAAATAAAAAAAAAAAGCAATTAGTATTTCGGAACAAAAATAAACGCAAATTTTTCGTCTTCTGAGAAAAAACAACCCAATAAGCTACCTAAAATTTTGCGAATTCATGGTGATAACTGGAAAAAGTCTTACTTCGTGACAACTGGATTCACAAAAGATTGGCGACAAATGAAGCATTTGTATGGTAGATCATTTGCCTCCTCTTCATCATCGCTACTTATGAGGTACTTGTCCGGATCATCTTCTTTAAGTCTGCCAGCCTCATAATCCCGTTCAATCTCCCAGCCATGCTTGTAATCGGTTCGATCGTGTAAAAATTTGCATGAATCTATAAAATACACAAGTCTCTTGGGGGAAAACTACCCTTTATTAAAAAAATTTCAAAACTGGCTATTTCTCTTTGCCGACGAATATGAAGCAGTACGACAGGTAGCTCGCGAATTCAAGTCCCTTGTAGGGACAAACAGTCCTTCTAAGATTCCTATTTCATTTGTTTCAACGGTAAACTAGTACTGCATACGTTATAACTTAAAAGTGACTGCGAGAGAAAAGAAAAAGTCAAAATTAATACATGTGACCCTATCAAATGTTGCTGCAGAGTTCACGCAAATGTCGATGCGAATGCGTAAAGAATGTCAAAACCAATAAATGTGAACGAAAGACTCAATGTACCAATTTTGTGCCAATTTTAATGAAGTTTTTTTCTGGAACTAGCACTAGTAGTCCTGAAGTCTTATCTCACTCTTATCTCCTTCTCTCATTTTGTAATCTTTCGTCCCTTCGCCATTCAGGCTTCCAGAATCAACCTGGTTGCTACAATCTGCTCAGAAAAAAAAGCATGCAAACTGCAATAATGGCTTAAAAAGAGCCAAAAAATGACTAAAAATTTAAGCAAAAAACGGCAAAATCGTAAAATTTCAACTAACCTCCAAAGGTACAGAAGCCAGTCTCCTTGTAATCCTTGCAAATATCCGGAGCGAAATCCCATCTTACCGACTGGCGCACAAAACCAGGCGCTCTGATCGGGCCAAATCGATTCAGCCCCGATGAGGCATTGCCCCAAACCGTATCTTTCTTCTCTTTCGCTCCGTACACTGCTGCACCACGATAAATCTGGAAAATTTCTTTTAAAAAA